GGTGATGGCTTCGCGGGTCTACGGTTCAACCGACTTTTTGCAAGTCCCTGGATCTGGTGTAGGAAAAACGCTGCTGACTGGGGCAACTTACTGGCCCATATGGCATTCATGTATTTTGTTTTTTTTTTATTATAACTATCAATATTCTATGTCAGGGTTTCATTATAGGGATGGGAACAAAATGTAAAGGCCCGAGAGGGTATACATATGATGGAATAAATAAATATTTACCACAGGAATGAACGATATTGGAATTGGACCATCTAATGGAAATGATTTCTGGTCAGCAATGAATATTCCTACAATGCAACCAAGAAGTACGAGGGAATATTAACAGATCATTTCAACGAGTTTACAGCAAGCTTGTGAGGAAAATTTTAGGGAAGCAATCCGTGTGGAAAGGGAAATGACGCTCCTGGCTGCACAGAAAAAATAAGTAAGCTCTGTTTCATTTATGTCCATTAGTGTGTGACAATTTCTCTTGCACTCCACTTGAACTGAATGTGCATCATTTTTTTAAGTTGACTATTTATTCAATTTACTATTTTCAACAGCTCTTGACCTCTCGGGTTTTGTAACGTAAAAAAGGTTTTTCGAAAACGTTTCATTTTCTTAATATGTTCTTTTTTTTCCACTGTATTTTGAATCTCTTGCACGGAGTGCAGTACGTTTAATCATGAAAAATTATGCTTACTGCACCTACTATTGATATTATTCTCATTACAACGTGATATATCCACGTATATCTTGATAGCCTGCAGCTATCATAATTTTGAATCTACAATTAAATGACTAATGATTATTTTTAGGTACATTCCAGCCTCAGCAGATTTAGCAACTAGAGTGTCTTGGAGCAGCCTCAGACGTGCCCAATAAAACTTGTATTTGGCAACAACAAAAATTAAAATCATTGGTAAATGTTCTTAGGAACTTATCTGATACCCCTCAAATATCCGAAGGACGACTAACTAAACCTTTATAAATTAAACAAATAATATTAGTCTAATTATTCATATTCTACTCAATTCTTGGAAAATTCACTAAATAATTGCTAATCTAGTTGATAATGAGTATAATTGAATAGAACAAAACGGCAACTCCTTGAACTCCCTGCGTGTCTGAACGAAACAGTGATCTTCGTGATTGTTGATACCCATCATGTGTGTTGTCTATTCTAATCCTCCTTTTGATTTTTAATTATCAGCTCGACATTCTTTCTAGGTCATCCACATTATATGGAATAATCAGGGCTATTCATGATTGGTGATACCTAAAACATGCTTTTCATTCTAATCATGATTCATCATCTTGAACCATCACATGTTATTTCGTCCAGGTCATTCATTTTACACACTATCACCTCATCCCAACTGAAAGTTTTTCACTTTTGATGATTATCACCGTTTCAAATATTCCATTTCATTTCTTTTTCTTTTGCACGTTTTGAATGAAAAATTATTAGGAAATTGAGAATGAACGCCAGAATCCTGCCAATGAATCCTCCTGTCCCGAAATTGGATCCTTACACCCTACCAATGACGATCCCAATGGAGAAATTGATGAACCCACTAATCATCTCATAATGAGTGCGTTAATTGTTATGTGGATTGTGTCTATTGATGCTGCTTGGCAAAAAAGGGGTTCAGAAAGAACATATAATAGTTTAAGTGGTTAGTTTTATTCAATTCTTAGCATGTTCAGGTGATATGAGACGTCAATCAATCATTTTTATTGATGTCCCTTTGCAGGCCATTCTTCAATTATTGGGTATTACTCTGGTCTTATTTTGGGGGTTGCATGTCGCAGTAGACAATGCAACTTATGCAATCGAGGTCGTTCTGAAGATGATCGTGACTGTTTCAAGGACTGGTCAGGTAGTGCTAAATCGATGGAGCCTGCGATGGCAGTTGAATTAGTAGTGGATAACCCGATGTTCGCTGAAGAGAAGGTGAGGGTTGGGACGCTAATTGCGGATGACGATTCCTCAATCATCAACAATGTCCAGCAAAACGCTTTATGGAAAATAGAGAAATGGAGTGATCTCAATCATGCCACAACCAACTTGTCGAATGCTTTGTGGAGAATGAAACTGCCTCCGCCCCTTGTGGAATATTTCAAAATTAACTTAGGCATTGTTATTAAGAAAAATAAAGATGATGCTAAGGCAGTTGAGAGTGCATTATTAAAGGCTCTTGTTCCGCATGCGTATGGCGACCATAGTAAATGTGGTACGTGGTGTGGATTCCACAAAGAAAGTCCTCAGTACAAGCATCGAAAACTGCTTGGTGGAAAGGATCTGCAGGAATCGATATCTTGAGGCCTTGAAAGAACTTTTCACTCGTTTTTCTAAGAAATCTGAACGACTTGCTCCATGTGGTTCAACTCAGAGAAACGAATCATTTAACCACTCTGTTACTGCTCGACATCCCAAAGACTATTGCTATGCTGGAACCGAGACATTTCCACTTCGTGTAAAAATGACTGCGTTGAACACGAATATTGGTTCTCAATATATATGTGATATCTATGAGAGGATGGATTATTCTCCAGGTAAATTTACTAAGAAATATCGAGAAAGTGAAGATGATATAGTGAAGAAGAGGGCTGTGAGAACGAAACAACCTGATTTCAAAAAGAAGAGGAAAGAGAATAACCAGAGAAAGACTGTGAAAGCCACGAGGACTGAGAATCGAGAGGGAACCTCTTATAAAAGTATCTGCGACTTCCAAAACATGGCAGATCTAATCGCAGAATTCAACCAACCAGGTGATGATTCCATTGTGTTAGCACAATTTGTTATAAAACACATGTTTCACCAGATTCTGTCATGAAAAATATCCTGTTACAAAAAATATCTCTTGACATATATGTACTCCTCTAATCACCTGTTTCGAGATAGATTGAAAATAATTGAAAATGTATAAACTGCATTACAATCAACAGGTCCTCCGGAAGATTTGAGGACTATGAAAATAGTTGTTTTCGACTTGGAGACGACCGGTCAGTCTGTAGCCTGTGATACCTGTCAGGTAAGAGTTACCGACTACCTCATTGATTTTTTAATGCTTTCAATCACAAATAAATCGTTGATGTTGTAATATCTTACTACACAGATAGTTGCTATCCACGATGAAGAGTCTTACAATGCTTACAGCATTCCATCGAAATCAATCTCCCAAGGTGCCACTTTAGTGCATGGATTACATGTAGATGGCGGACAGCTGTATTTGAGAGAGGAGAGAGTTGACACGATACCCATAAAGACTTCTTTAGGGAATTTTTTTATCATTTCTGGAAGAATAGTCAGGTGGAAATGAAGTTCTGCTCTTGGCCCACAATGGATTCAAGTAAGACATAGGATCTCATTTATTTGATACCATCTAATTCTTAAAATCTTTATCCCAGTTTCGATGCTCCTATCATTATGACTCACATGAAGACTCACGGACTTTTTCAACGGTTCGCGTCTGTAGTCAAAGGATTCATTGACACTCTACCAATCTATAGAGAAAGGTATCTCGAGAGGAAAGGAGGACGTAATTATTCACAAGAAAAATTGGTTGAAGATTTTGTGGGTAAAGATGCTGCGATGGGTGCTCGCAATGTGGTGGCTAAAGTCCGGACTTCCAGTCAATTGATAATAGCAACGAAGTTGACTGATGATGTCCTTAAGAATGGGGCTAAATCTCTAAACGATTATGTAGAGGAGCGTCAAGCAAAACCAAGACTCAAGGGAGAAAAAGCTGAAAAGAAACTAGCTAGACAGATGCTAAATGAGAGGAATGCTACGTTTACTGTCATCAGAGATTTGACTAATGGGATGCGATTGAAGATGGCCAAGGCAGGATTGACTCTGCAGCTCTTGCAACACATGTATACTTCTGGGGGGGCTGATGCTCTCACACTATTTGACAGAGAGTATCAATCAGAAACCGAGAGTTTCAAAACATAAAAAGACATTGAAATCAATAATGGCTCATCTGGAACATCTATCTCAGAATGGTGAGTTTCATTCTTCCCTCCAATGATTTATTATCAAGATGATTGGACCTATTGCGTCTCACCACTCACTGCTACTCACTTCTATTCCTCATTTTGAATAATTACTAATGTTTTTTCCCAGGAAAATCATATGAAAACGATGACCCTAACTCTCTATCAACTGGAAATAGCAGCTGAAGATATTTTTAGGACATTAATTATGTTACAGAGTATATTATGTATTCTCTTTTTCTCACTGGATTACATTTTTGGAAAAAAATCATAAATCTGTCTATGTAATTTTAATAAAGCCGTTATATCCTGTATCGATAATAATTTTATTGATATTCAATCGATTTCTACCATAATTATTCATAGAGAATAAACAATTACACAATCGCGATATTTCATGGTAAAATATGAATAATGTTCGTACGATGTTGAAAGGTAGGTGTTGGGGTTATGTGTGACTGTTTTGACGTTACCTATTTTACCGAAGTCACTCAGCTGGGCAAGCAATGTTGTCGAGTTTTTAGACTCGTAATGGCGGCCACGTTTTCCGAAATAAATTCAAAAATCAAATATTAATAACACGCTTATCTGACCGGGTACCCTAATTTTTCGTGCCGGCGATAGATTCTCTACATTCTCAGGTAAATGGCTACTGTTTTTTTTTTCAAGATTTAGAGTGTTTAACCCTTCCGATTTTTCCTTCAAGCCCCACACGATCACGTTCGTCCCATAAGCGAGTATGGCAGGACAGTCACAGCGAGACATTTTCGGAAATTATGTTTTCATTAGAATGTCCGGATAGGGGGATTGAGATTTATGCTGACGGATCGCTCGGATATTGAACTAATATGTGGGAGGACGTCAAAATTACTTTGAATGGTCACGGTTTTGGCTAAACATCCTTAATTGCTGAAAGAATCACAAGGGAAACGATGCGGAAAGGCATAATGAGAGGGCATCAACGTATTCTATTAAACTTAGAATTTACAAGAAAAATCATGACTTACTCAATCTTTCGAGTGTATCCCATATTTCTTGCACCAACTGAACACCTTCTTTGGAATTTTGGTCGATCATAGGCCTTCCACAACAACGAATAAGCAGTAGTGCCTCAAGGCTTGGAACAGTTCCTGACAAAGAAAAAAAAGGTAATTCCTGAATTCCATGATCATGTAATAGCAGTTTTTGTTGATGAATTGGCAATACACTTCTGAATGAATATATCGCAGTGCATTTTTTCATTGCATCGTTTTATATCATGACAACCATATAACTTATTTTAGATTCCATCATATTTGCAAACCTTTAACAAGTTGTGACGTTTTCACAAACTATAGAAATATTAAGTAAATTATAATTTTTAAAAATTCTGACCGAATGAGCGCCAGTCAATGCTTTTTATTGAGGAGAGGGCATTGACGCCTCTCCGTAGCAAAATTTAGAAGAAAATACTTAACATCTGAAAATGTCCGACTTCTCAAAATTACGAGTAGACCCTGTTGGTTACAAGGGGGACGATACCCCTACTCTGGTATATTCTCTCCTCCATTCTCACACAAAGAAAACACAAAACTTCAATTAACAAAAATTGAAGAAAATATAATTCCTCGAAAAATAAACAAAATAAATACAAAAGAGAATTACTCTGGGTTCTGAGGACCCAATATCGCCAAAACAGTACCAATTGAAATAAAAATAAAAGAGATTAATATTTCACATCGATAATCGATAAACCACGATTATAAATCGTCGACTCCCGAAGAAAAGATACAAAGATAATTGAATTAGATAAATTCTAATAATTCTACCCAAATCAACAGCAAACTCAATTCAAAGTGACAGAAAAAATTAATGGGGGAAATCGACTGAGATTCCCTCAACCCTAATAGCTGTACATCAAGTCGATTAAAATCATCGATCGATGCCTGATCTCAAATATTCACAAAGCTAAATTATAATCCAAAATTTCAACTCAAAATTAAACCGTAACTGATTAACTTCGGTATTTGAACTCAAATTACTCAAAATTAATTATAAAAATTTACACATTAACGGTGGAAACGGACAACTCCCACGACTCAAGAAAATGTAAACAATGGCTGGATGAAGACGCCATAGTGAACTCGTCCACACGAGAAGCCTAAACAAAGGGCTATGATTCTCGGATTTTACTCAAATTTAAAGAAAATTTGGCTTTGCCCACCTGCCTACGTAAGGAGAACTATTTCCTCCCAGGATGGACTGCAGCCTCAATGACGAAAAATAATAATTCAACTCCAAACAAACAAAATAAATGCCAATCTGGCAGACCGTATTACTTTGGCGACTACATCTCGCTTTAGCTAGGAGACGACTCTACTCAAGCGTGCATCGACTTGCTTGAGATGCTTGTTTTTTTTTTCAGATTTTGGGGGAGAGTCCCCCACCCCCCTCTAACTACTTGAATCAAATAATTTGATAGAATATCGAAATTTTCTTAAACTCAATCTAAAATTTTACAATTCCAAAATATTCGAAATGATAAGTATTCACAGATATTACTCGTCAGAAAATTCTAAATAATTATTTTCAGTATTCTAAATTATTTCTCTTGAAAATCTCAAAATTGTTTTAGTCGTTTTTTATCGCTCCGGTGTCACGTGGTTGTCACTCGAGTATCCCTCGTTGACTTCCAGCAGGTTCTGATCATCGGATAGGGGAGAATTCCTCTCCCGGTCATTCCTCGCGTCAGGGTACCCTGGACTGTTGACTACTAACAGTTGGAGATGTTGGATCCCTGGCCAGAGGACACCTGCTCTCATTTAAAATGCATATGCCTCGTAGAGGGACACTACCGTCCGATCCTCCTTCTGATTGTCCTAGACGTGATGGTCTGGATGTTGTATGGTCCCAAGAGATATTTCTTAGGACCTCCTCTTCTCGACCTATCCCGTTGACTCGGAAATACGACCGTTGGAGAAGACGAAATAAGTTAAATTTTCATAAGAATGGGGGATTTACTTTCCCCGATTCTCGTGGGTCCGAGAAGCCTCCTGGAGTTAATTTATACTCAAAATAGTGCCTTTGAAGAAGGACTTGATATTTTTTACAAAAAAAAAATATATATATATATATATATATATATATATATATATATATATATATTGGGTTGACGATCTCAGTCGTCACAATTAACGACAAGTAATGAGTTCCATATTTGAGATCTAAACTTCAATATTTAAATTTGACATTCAATATTCATTTTCAATATTCGAACCAACAAATAGCCTACTATTATAATAGCGAGATTATCTTCAAACTCCGTGAAAGTAACGTTGAACGTTATGAATGGATTTTTTAATGCTATAATTAGATCAATTTTAAACATTATTTCTGGAAAAAGCATTGGGAAACAGATTTTAGAAAAAAAAACGAAAATTGCAAACCTATTGGATAAACTAACCCAACAAATATGGCTATTTATGTCATCTTTAAAGTGGGTTGAAATGGAAAAAAAACAATTTCCTGAATCCATGATACAGCTGATGTCAAATATTTTTTACGTTTTCGTTTGAAAAAATTGGTAATTTAAAAAATATAATAATAAAAACGAAAATCAGAAAAAAATGGCTACATGAGGAGAATTTCAATCAATTTAGATGAATAGCGCTTCACAGTAACTACACGGGGAGAAATGTTCATATGTAATACCACGAGAGCTTCAAAATTATCGGGTATTTTCCGATAGGTTCGTTGCAAACAAACGAAGGAGTCAAGTTTTTCCTGAAGCACTTAAAGACTTCGCTTGTGTGCAGGGAACCTTGAGGGAAATACCTGATTAATTTTGCAGCTCGACTGGTATTTGGGAGACAATTTTTCCATCTACATTTCGGCCAAGAGAATTGCACCATGAGACGAAATCAATCTGTCAGTTTCGGCGAACGGTTCACTCAATTGAATGATGTTTTGTTTTTTCATATAGCAACTATCAGAGAAAAATACCAAAAAAATTATCAGTAGCAATACCACCAGAGCTTCAAAATTATTGGAAATTTTCCGATAGCTTCGTTGCCGAGGAACGATTGTGTCAAATTTTGCAGGTTTCAAATGCTGAGTGCGAAGCACGAGGGATTTTTCTGAAAAATTTGACACACTCGTTCCTAGGCAGGGAAGCTTGAGGAAAATATCCGATTAATTTTGAAGCACGAGTGGTATTTGACGGAGTATTTCCCTCATCGGCATCTCGGCCAATAGAAGGGCCGCATTTGATGTCACGTGGTACAACCTACGCAGTTTTATATTGGTAAAATTTGGTAAAACCACGGCAAGTTGCTAAGGGAGAATAAACAAAATAATTGAAATGCGAAAGTGAAATTCCGATAGAGGAAATACTATTTTGTGTATGGCGCCCCAGATTGCTTGTTTCAAATCGCTAGAGTCGAGCTCGGCCTGGATTAGGTATTTTCCCTCTCGTCATGATATGATCCTCGCTGAACGTGATTTGAAGTCGACGGCGAGGGTGTTGGATAGGAAAGAGTCCACTACAACTTTGATACTGGTGTTTGGGGCAGGGTGAAGACCGGAGATAACCACGTTATTTTTCCTCGTAACTTTTTCGAGCTCCTCGAGTCTCTCATCGAGAATTGGGTCGATGTCTTTCTTCATCTTCTGAGCTAGCACGGAGTTAATCTTCACTTCTACCAACGTGATGATTTGTACTTCAAGTTCGGGTTGATTCATGGGGGCGAGATTAGCGAGCGTTTTGAGACCATCAACCTCCTGGCTGAGGGAGTCGTACTTCTTATCAAGTCCATCCTTTACTTTGGAGATTTCAGCATTGATTTCAGCCTTGAATTCATCAAGTTTTTTCTGATGTTGTTGGGAGGTGGAGGTAATCAGCTTCTCCATTTTATCAAATTTCTTCTCATTCTCAATACTCATGGCCTTGAAATCTGTCTGTGATTGCTCCTTCATCTCAGCGAGGATTTTGAATAATCGGTCCGTATCTTCCTCGTTGATGTCGTGATCTGATTGCAAATGGTCTGCTGTCGTCTTAACAAGTGGGTTGATGGACTCCAGGGTGGTAGGTGGAGAGTTCATGGGGGAATCAGAAGTTTCAATTATTTTTGGAGGGGTGCTCGGGATCCCTGGGAGGATGATCTGAATTTTGGGTATTTTTTTATGTTCGGGGGTCACGGAGGAATCGCTTTCCCTTTTCCTCTTGACGTAATCATCTAGTGTAGATGACAAGGGAGATTTCAATTTCGTCCAGCTTTGGAGTGTTGAAGGCTTGCCTCTGTTCGTTTTGGGTGGGGTGGGGGATTGCACAGTAAAACATGCGCCAATTTTCTTGGAAAGGTCGATCAATTTTCGAATTGCATGGAATATTCTCTTCGGTGTAGAGATGTCGCTAGTTGGCTTCGACATCGGTGTGGATGGCCTCTTTCCCTCTCGTTCACATAATCTAGGTCGTTCGAGAAAACTATGTATTGATAAAAAAGAAGGCACTAAAACCCATCGAGGTGATAAAATTAGGGCCAGTCTTACAAGAGCACCAAGTCAGGTTCACGAGGGCACCAATTCACCTCTACGAAATCGTCGTAAAACCACTTAAAATCCAAGACAAACTCGCACCGAAAAAACATACAAACAGTCACAATGCCGCCATGACGGGCCCCCCTGACAAAAAATCAATTTATGGCTCACAAAAAAGATGATTAATTGCGTCGGGCCGGTAATTAGGTCTGGAGGGCCAGAAAATAGACAATCGATTTTTAATTAGGACTTGGAAATTACACAACAAAAACATCTTCAACGCCAGCAACCAAGATCACATCTCCATGGCAGCCTGTCAATATGGCGGTTGAAAATCTCACATAGGAAAACACTTATAACAATTTCCACAAGCACTGAACACTCCCGAGACCTAATTACCGGACCATGAACTTCTTTATTCTATTTTTCACGAGTTTTCCCGAAGCGATTGGAGGGATACAAAGCCCGTAATTTTGGCCCCCGTAAGTGAGGCGATCAACTGTCCCCATATTGTCCCTCTCAGTGATACTGAAATTCGACACATGGCGCCACCCAGACCCTTGAAACTCGGAGCTTCCAAATCGAGATTCTCGCGCGAGGTAGATCAGGAGTGTAT